CTGCACAGATCCAGAGGCACCCTCCCTCCCCCGTGTCCTCCTGGACAAGCAGCAGGAGCAGCGGCTGGAGCCATGGGACAAGCAGGCAAGCTGCTCCCGGACCAGTGGCATGCAGCAGCAGGAGCCGTTGCCCCCCTCCCTGCACCCCTGGATGAGGTGTGGCTTCATTCTGTGCCCCACCCCAGTGCCACTCCTTCCTCAATGCAGGGGGGCATTGATCTGCATTCCCCGCTGCCCATCCCTTCCCTCCCCACCCCCCTTTCACTGCAACAGACTTACCAGCCGAATGCAGCTGTATTGGAAATTGGATTGGTATCGGCTGATATGCCTCCTTAAATATTGGTTATCAGTATCGACTCCCAAAATCTCTATCGGTGCACCCATAGTATACAGCACTTAGCACACATTTAAATATAATGGTGCATCTCTGCATGTAAAGAAGATTGGATTAGACCTACATAAACATGCATGAACACTGTAGAAGAAGTTATCTGGGTACCATTCACTTCACATGTCCTCTGCAGACACTGCCTTTACACTAAAAAGACTCAGCATTTACTCAAACTATGAAATAAGTTAGGTATGCTCTACTGAAAGAGTAAATTCTTTGGTTCTTTTATGTTTGCTGCTGTTTCCCTTGCACTAAATATTTCTCAGAGTGAACAGTACCTAAAAGAAGAACTTTAATTTTAAGTCTTCTTAATAAAGGAGGCATATAATGTGTCTCTGTTTCAGCATCCTTACTTCCTGTAAAGTGCACAAAGATTGGAGCTTTGTACAGCCCGGCTAAAATGATTCAGTCTAACAAGTCACGTGTTAACAGAAATAACAATTCCATGGGCATGTTGTAACTTCTCTCTTTACGCTCTCTAAATGTCCTTCAGATGAGGTGTGGCTCAGATGAACAAGCTAACTGTAAATACACACTGACTTGCTTAAAATGTTTATATGCTTCTACAGGACACATTACCTTTCAATTTAGTTGCTTGTCATAAAACTATTTTAAGCACAAAGCATACCTTTTATAAGGTAGCCAGTCCCTGTAACTTAGAAAGACTGAGCTAGGGCTGAACAGATATGGGTACACTTGTGAAGAGATAACTGATACAGTTCAGTCTAATAGTCCCATTAAAACCAACAGGTGTAAACAAGTATGAATAAGGCAAAAATGAGCGTTATGTAAAATAAATGATAAGCAGATGCTTGGGTTTATGAGTCAGAAAGATTCCCTCTTGCCCACCCATCAAAATATGTTGCTAAAAAAAGTCTAGATGTGTCTGTGTAAACTCGCATCAGTAAAGTAAATGCTATCCAGTTCTTTCTACTCTCGAGTTGCGTAGTTCTGTATTTGAAATAAACATGGCAAACAATGCATGGGGTAACACTCAAAACAAATATCATTAAAGTAATCCTTAAGAATATAAATTACTTTAAATGCAAAACATTAACACAGGCAAATTATACCTGTTACATTTTCGGCAGTGGTGTGAACGTGGTGCCTTGTAAGACTGGCACACTTTACAGTACTGGAGATACACAGAGTCCTGAGATTTTTCCTGTGAGAACAAAACTGTTAGGAAGCAGTATAATAATTAGTACTAGCAGAACATGTCTTAACACTTTCATGCAACACTGGGTGTGGTTGATCTTCACCCTTTTGTGGGAGAGGGTTGAGCAAGAAATCAGCACTTTCTGCGGTCATTCCAGTTAACGCTCACTGTTAAGCATAAAGATGGCCAACTCTGCCCCCACCCAAAAAAGTGCAATTTTCACCTAAAAAATGTGGACTCTGACACTTCCAGTTGCTTGATACAAGCAAACTGCAAGCAGCCACTACAAAATAACTAGTAGCACTGAGGCATTAGTAACTTGCTTTCATTGATTTTTTTCTTCTCTCTAGCTAGTCTAAACCCCAGAGTATACCAACAGCTGGCAAATGCAGTTCCCAATCTGTGGTATGGGTACCCCAGGGGTACGCAGACAACCTGACAGTTTTACGCATTAATAGATTGATTATAATTACTTTGTATGGCACAAATTTGCTGGTCGTACTTAAGGTTGAACTGAAAAATTTGCTAGTGGTACTTAAGGTCATATTGTTTTAAACTGGTGGTGCACAATCTGTCAGAGTTTGGGAACTGCTGTCTTAAGATATTTTATGATTCCAGGGATCATAAGGTGCTCCAGTCACACTCCTCCTCATCAAGCAAGAGTTGGCATGTATAACAAGCAAATTTATTCCCCAAGCCCATAGATTCCCCTGATACACAGACTTGAATTCTTTTTCTAAGGAGCTCAACGGTTACTGTGAATTGAGAGGAGCAAAGCACGAGTTTAACACCTCCGTCGTCATACCCATTACGAAGATCAACTGTAATACTAGTTCACCGAAGTGAGCCTTTACCGGTTTCCATCCGAAAGGAACATATCCAGGGCCAACGAACATGGCATTGAAGTAGTTGTAAAGAATCATAACCGTCCAGTTGATAAGCATAATGAAATTCACACTCCCTCCTGGTGTCTCCAAGGGCCAATACCACAGGACTGCATCGATCATCGCCATCGTGGAGCAGATGGTGATGACGCCCAGGGCTATGATGGGGCCCCAGTGACAGAGCCTCTTCAGTTCATGCAGGTTCTCAAACTTCACGAGCGAGCGCCCCATGGCCATCCTGACCGGGGCCTCCCTGCCCCGCAGAGCCCCTAGCGCTCAGGGGCCAGCTCCAGTTCCCACATCCTGGCGAAGGGCGGTGTCTTGGGTCACGGCATGGCAGGTAGGTGCGAGGTTCTGCAGGAAGCACCTGTGGAGCGAGCGCCTCGCGCCCCTCAGTAGCC